CCCATGATGCCTTGTTTCCACATGGAGCATACAGTAGGGTCACCCCCACAAAGGCCTGAGTCACTGCTGAATTCAACACCCGCCCCCACCCACGAGTTCATTATCCCACGAGTTCATTTTCCACCCCAGAATGACCGCCTTTTTAGATCTCTTCATCTTGGCTTTCCTTGCCCACCGTGACCAGCACTCAGCTTGTTGCATAAAGAAATGAAGTTCTCTGGTTGTTTCCATCACTTCAGGAGAATTCCAAGTTGGCCACAAGTGGTGGAGACCGAGATCAGAGGCAGCCGACTCTGACTCCCATCTGTAACCCTCATCCCTGCCACGCTCGCTCCTCATGTTCCTCGTGCAGGGAACTCGGTGTGGGTGCACCTGGCACCACCTTGGCCGCAGGTGGTGTGGTTTTCGAATCGGTCAGCCTTGGAAAGACTGGGCTTGGCTCAGCTCTGCCCTCTTCCCTTCATCTCTCCCCGACATGTCTGCCGAGGTCCCGTTGGCATTACAAGCTCATTCTTCGCCCTCCAATTTCTTCCTTTGCTCGGAACCCACACAGTAAAGGGGCCAGGGGAGAGGGGACTCTTCAGGTGACACTGAGCACTAGACAAACTATGTAGACCATAGATGCTGCGGGACCTCAGAGGAGGAGGTGAGTACCCAGGGCCTGCTCCTTTAAGACACGGCTCACTGTGGTGAACACTGGTCACCCAGACCCCGCGAGCCAGGCACTGTGCAAGCCAGGCCCTTTCCTGTGTTATCCACCTACTGCCCACGTTGGCATGGGTGCTATCATGATCTTCGTTTACAGGCCAGGAAGCCAAAGCACATTGCCCAGTAAGTGGGATGAAGGCCCATCTTTCTAAGCAGAAACGGATCTCTCTGTACAGAAGCCAGACCCTGACCTCAGGTAGGATTCAGACCGGCAGACAGAAGAAGGGAAAAGTTAAGTGACCGAACATGAGATGGTGGGACTGTCTGAGACATGTCCGGGGGCCAGTGGGTACCCCCAGGGGCTGGAGTGGGCATGTTCAGGGCAGAAAGGGAGTCCTGAGAAAGGCAAGGGGAATTGGGTGAGGACTCTGGAATTTTCTATTCAACCCCTCACCTACAGAGAAAGACTTCTTTATTCTCACATAAAATTTTTACTACAAAAATGGCAGCCCTTCCTTCCTTCTTTCATTTGTTCAGTTAGTACCTTGTTCCCACACGGTACAGGCAGAGGGGGAGGCAGAGGGAGAGGCAGCGGCCGGCGGGGCAGGACTGGCCCCTGGCCCGGGAGCTGTCCTCACAGGTGTGAGTGACCAGCACACGGAAGGGCACACAGGCTGGGCTCCCCCAGCTCCATCAGTGGGCTTCAGGATGGCACCCCTTCTGGGACACCCTGCTGACACTGTTCTTGTTCAAGGGGCCAGAAATCTGCCTCCTGGTAACCTCTCCACCCAGGGATGCCTAAAAAATACCCATGGCAGAGGCCCCTTCTCTGATACCTTCTTAACTTCTCTTTTCCAGACCAGAAGTTTCCAGTTTCTCTACCTCTTCTCCAACAGGGATTCTGCTGACCCAGCGAGCTGCTGCTGACTGGTAAGCATCCTCAAGTGGGGGCCCCAGATGACCTTCCTACAGAGTGTTTGTCCTTCTTATCTTTTCTGTGTCATTTGAAGCATATAGCACAGCCCTGCATACATGGCAGATGTCAACAAATGGGGCAAATTGCATCGACTCCTCCACTTAGCCACTTTATCAAAGATCCCACCAGACATGGTCAGAGCTCTTCCCACAAACATTGGGTGAGCTCCTGCTCTGTGCCCAGCCCCAAGCTGAACCCTCTGAGCACATCTGTGCATCCAGCAGGCACTTGGCTGTGTCCTGTGCAGCTCAGGTTACAATGGTACTCGGCCCACACCTTATGTTTGCTCGGCCCTTTTACCTATGCTTCTAGTTGGTTCCACACTGTGGCATAGTCATTATTTTTTGCAGTTTACAGGTGAGAAAGTTCAAGTCCAGCAAGATTAGATGATTTACCCAAGGTCATGCGGCGGTAGGGGCTCCAACTGAAACTGAAACTCAAGTTTTCTTGGGGTGTGTAAATCTGCGCCACAACCCACCTCCTCGAAGTCTCCTATTGAGTTCTGTAGAACAGTTCAATTAGCCCCTTCTTCCTTCCCAGGGAAATTCCAATACTGCTTTATTGTCCTGCCTCCCCATGGGTTAAAGCAATTTTATTCAAGAATTATCCCCCACTTCCTCAAAAATGAGCCATTCCAAGCACAGAACACTTAAAAGAAAAACACTGCTGAGTGCCAGCCATGTTCAAGTCAAGGATTACTCAACTGGACACCGAGTGCGTGCAGACTGCTTCATATCTTTCTGAAAACTTGCAAAATGCGAGGCACCAGCCTCTTTAGATAAGGAAGTTGGTTTTTTTCTAATCTTTCTAATGTCTCTGAACAGACAGTATCTCCACTTCATCAGTGGTGAGACCTAAGCTATCACTGGATTCATAAAGGACTTTGCTAAATTATCAGGTACCACCTTTTTAAAATTCTTCTCTGGGGGAGAACTCATTAAATGCCAACAGAAGTTGTTTATTTAGAAGAGACTTCCAGGTAGACTGTCAGGTTTCTAGGAAAAAGGAGACGGAGCCAGGGGTCTAGGCAGGTGGAAGCAGGACCTCCCAGGAGTGCCCTTGAATCAAGGAGGTGGAGGGGAGGGAGGCTCACCCCAATTTAGGAGGTAGCATGGGGGAGGGCGTATTGCGAAATACTTCCATTGTCTTCTTGCTTTCTCCCACCTTCCCTGTCTTTCTCCCGGCCATGCTGCGATGCGTTCGCCTCTTCCACTCATCCAGAGTCAGCCTTCTATGCCTCTTCAGTCCCCATGCCCATGGCTGTGCCCACGTGGTCCAGGCTGTCATGAATTCTCAAGTATTTGAGAAGACGGCCACTCCAAAGGGTCACACTGAGTGGATTTGTGTTTATTCACACTGACTTGTAAGAAACAGTGAAAATATAGTTGACATATATGGGTGTGCATACATTTATATGTTACATTTGTGTATGTATATGTGTTTCAAGTTTTCATTGGAAATCCACTCTGAGTCAGGCTGTTAGATGAATCAGTTGACGGATTTGGAGGCTTTTCATCTGGTTCTACAAGGTTGACTGCTTTACCTGGACCTCTGTTGGAGGGCAGGGATAGAGAGCTGTTTTAAAGCTGGGCAACCTTGGGTTGGCTGGAGATGGAAGCTCACTGTTGTTTGACAAGTGCTTTAGGTGGGAAGGTGGGAACGTTTGGCACGTGGCAGCAAGAGGAGTTGGAACACACCTGCAGCCCTTGTTAGAAGGTGCTGATAATGACATTGAACCAGACAAGCTGAGTTACTTCTGCTGGGGAAGAATTGCATGGCTCAATAAGAAAAAAGAGATAACACCCAGCAGAATTAAATGGATAAAGGCACACAGAGATAATGCACGGTAAAGAAAGTGAGTGTGACTAATAGTTACAGTTTAAAAAGAAATTAAATAAATGTTAGTTACAACAAGAATGACATCCCTTTGCCCGTATAATTGGCCAAGGAATTATTTTCTTTTAGATCTTCTCTGTGTTGATGGATGCACGCCAAGGCTGGCGTCATCACTCACCAGTGCCAAGTGTGTGTGTGTGTGTGTGTGTGTGTGTGTGTGTTTACTCACTTTCTGGAAGCAATTTGGCAAAATACGTCAAGAGCCTTAGAAATATGATTGTAAGTAAAAATGGTGCTTTGGGAAATCTACTTTAAGAAAATAAGAAAAACTGCAGACAAATATGTTTACTGCAGCATTATTTGTAAAAATGAAAATTGGGAACAACTTCATTATGCATCAAGAAGACAATGATTAAATGACCATGAATATCTATACAATATGTTGGGATCATTATGAATTATATTTTCACTTATGTATGCATTTATTGGTTGATTCTTGTATGTGCCCTGACTGGGGATCAAACCCACAACCTTGGTATATCAGGACGAAACTCTAGCTCTAACCAACTGAGCTACCCAGCCAAGGCTACAAATTATATTTTCTAATAATTTTTAGCCACATAGCGCTCCTTTCTGGCCACACTGGCCCTCTGTTCTTCTACAGCCATATCCAGGCTCTCTCCCGTCCCAGACTTTTTGCGCCTGCTGTTCTCTGCCTGGCCAGTAGAGTGGCATGTCAAGTGCACAGGCAGAATCAGGAATGTTCGAGAATACAGGGCAAAGGTGGTGTTTTATGCCCAAAGAGGAGAGGGCAGGTGTCCAACATATGGTGTCTTTAAATTGTCAACCACGTAGACAGAAATAAAAGAGAAATGCATTTCATGCCATATATCAAAATACATTTAAAATGTGTTATAGATTTTTGTGGATAAATGATACCACAAAGATATTAAAAAATAGATAAACATTTAGATACTAAAATATAGATAAATGTTTATGTAATTTGGGGTGTGGAGTGTCTTCCTAAATGTAATCCTATGACAGTGATGGCATGGGCTATGGAGTCAAGGGACATAGGACAGAGTCCCAGCTGTCATGCACTAACAATGCCATAGTGACTGAGACCCACCAAGCCTCTCTCTACTCATCTGTGAAGTGGGGATGTAAGTACCTGCCTTGCAAAGTTGTGAGGACAAGCAAACACATGTAAAGTGCCTGACCTAAGCAAGGCACAATTATGATAGACTTACCTTGCATTGGTTATGTGCAAAGAATGTCAAGTTCCTGAACTCAGAGACCATTTTCTTCTCAGTATTTTTCCCCTCCCAGGTGGTTATTTACAATAAGGGGGAAAATACATCAAACAAGGTAAAAACGTGGCCATTTTGCACATTATTTGATCCATGCTGAAAAATGAATATTTCTTTCATTCAGAGTCACTATGGGTGCCGATGTGCAAGACTAAGGAGGTGGAGTCCAGGGCACTGATTTCCTTTGGGGCACCTGGAGTCGAACAAGCCTGTCTCTGTTGCTGCTCTTTAGGAGGAGCTCTGGCTTATATGAGGGGAGGTGTCTGAGGGTTCAGGAAAAGGGTCTCTGCTTCTTCAAAGACAGGGAGGTTTGAATTATCACGAACCCCCAAGGTACCCTTCTGATGTTCACTCCAGGACTTCTAAGGAAAGTGCCCAGCCACACAAACTGAAAGTCTGGGGCAACCCGTCAGTGAGCCTCAGAGTTAAGTGCTGGTCTCAGTCCAGCAGCTGGGGAGAGGAGCAGCTAGGACTGGCCACTGTGCACCCCACCTCCACAGAACCCTGTGTGGGCTGACCTTCAGGGGCCCAGAATTCGAGCCAAGGCAAATCATTGCCATTGGCTCCGATGATTGCATTTCTAGGACTTACCTTGTGAAATGCCTACTGACTTATCTATTCATGCTCTTCTCCACCCTCCCCATAGAAAAGAGAAAATCAGCAGGACTCATTCAAAGACGAAGTGCAGGGATTAACTGTCCTTCTAGGGCTCCCTCCTTGTCTGTTTTTCCTTCTGCTCCAGTGAGGTCAGCCATTGTAAGAAAAGCAGGCGCTGACTCTAGGGATCCTGGTCTTAAGGATATCAGATCCGACGAGAGATCCCATTGGCCTGGCCCTCCCGTGCAGCTCCCAGGTGAAGGAGTAACCAAGGGTTTGTTCTTGACGGCTGCCCAGGCTGTCTCAGTGTCATGAGGTAAAGGAGTGAATTAACCTGGGTTGATACTGCTTATAATGTAACTGTTATAATAGTTAATAACAATTCCAATAGCCAAGTTATCAAAAGTTAAATTTAAAAATCACTGCATTTGAATCTCCTGAGGAGAATATTAGACATAGATACTGAAGATCTAGCCTGAACTTTTATATCTACTTGTTAGAGGCTTTGGAGAAAATCACTAAATTTCTTCAAGCTTCAATTTCCCTATTAGCCAGGGTGAATGGCATCTTACCATGGGGCCATGGAGAGGGGGAGTTATTTGTAATAGTATTAATCACTATTATTATGAAAAGTATTTGGTTTTTAAATAGGTAAGATGATTTTGAAAGTCATACACACACAGTAAAATGCAAAATGCAAAATACCTTAAAAGTTACAGTAATAATAGTAATTATTATATTATTATCATCCAGCCAGGGTTTTTTTTTTTCCCGTCTTACACTTCTTTCAACTACTTTCAGAAATCAGCATCCCCATTCTCCACCACCACCTACAGCACTCCTGTCTCTTTCCTCATGGCAGGTCATACCAACTTTTAAAACTTCCATCTTGCGTCTCTGACTGCCCCCCGCCCTGGCAGCTCTGATATACCTTTAAATGTATAGGCGGTTTATCATGCATGGTTTTGTTGGGTAAATAATAAATCAACTAGGATTCAGAAAGAGTGGCCGTGCCTAATTGTGGGGTTGTCGTTTCCTCTTCTACCACAGGAACAAGAAAAATGGCAACCCTAGTGGCCGGGACCGTGACTGAGCAAGAGGCCCTGGAGACCTCTGGTTACGATTATGTGTTTTCAATGCCATGTGAAAAATACAATGTCCAGCAGCTGATGGCCCAGCTGCTGCCCCCACTGTATGCCCTGGTGTTCGGGGTCGGGCTGCTGGGCAACGTGATGGTGGTGGTGATCCTCATAAAATACCGGCGCCTCTCCATTCTGACCAACATCTACCTGCTGAATTTGGCAATTTCTGACTTGCTCTTTCTAGTCACTTTGCCATTCTGGATCCACTATGCACAGCAGGGTCAGTGGGTTTTTGGCTATGACATGTGCAAGCTGCTCTCAGGGTTTTACAGCATGGGCTTTTACGGGGAGACCTTTTTCATCATTCTGCTGACCATAGACCGGTACCTGGCCATTGTCCACGCCATGTTTGCTCTCCGAGCCCGGACCGTGTCTTTTGGTATCATGAGCAGTTTTGTCACGTGGGTCCTGATAGTGCTGATAGCCCTCCCTGAAATTATCTTCACTAGGGCCCAAGATGAGCAGGGATATTTCTCCTGTGTTTCCCTTTTCCCGGAGGGAGACATTGACACCTGGAAGCGCCTTTACATTGCAAAAATTAACACCCTGAGTCTGGTTCTGCCTCTTCTCGTTATGGTTGTCTGCTACTCAGGCATCATTAAAACACTGGTGAGATGCCCCAACAGAATGAAGTACAAGGCCATGCGGCTCATTGTCGTCATCATGGTGGTCTTTTTCATTTTCTGGGCACCCTACAACCTGGCTCTCTTCCTCCATACTTTTCAAACGACTTTCTTTGAGACCAGCTGTGAGCAGAGCAATCAGCTGGACGTGGCCATTATGGTAACAGAGGTGATCGCCTACACGCACAGCTGCATCAACCCCGTGATCTACGCCTTCGTCGGCGAGAGGTTCCGGGAGCACCTCCGCCACTTCTTCCGCCGGCACGTGGCTGTGTACCTGGGCAAGTGCATCCGACTGCGTGCTAGTGAGGCACCAGACAGAGCCAGCTCTGCGTCTCCATCAACCATGGAGCAGGAGCTCATTGGTATATTTTAGGTCAGATGCTACAAGTCGCCTTAAGAAAATGCTCTTGGCACATGAAGTAAATACACAGATCCAACGACATTGACCCCTATACCAGACCTTTGAACTTCCAGTGCTCTTGCAGACATTAAAATATATCCTCAGTGGTTGTGGTGTATCTCTGTGCCCAAAAGTCTTCACCACAGGTCAATGGCTGGGCAGTGTACTTACTGCCAACCCCAAAAAGCAGAGCTTTGCTTATGTCTCTGAAAAGTTCAATGCATTTCAATGCAGCTGAATATTCAATAGTTAGTATATGCAGCTACAGACAGGTAAAACTTTGTATACTTGAAATCTTAACTTCGGCCAGCTGTTGACCAAATGGAACATATTTCACAAAATACAATAAATCAATTACGTTACTTCTTAATGTGCCTAGCTCTTTCCTTGCTTGATGAAAGACTCATTTTTAAAGTTTCTGACTGTGTGTTCTCACACAACATTCTGGTCTGACATACCTGTTCTGAATATTCTGAACATTGAATCTGTTTTCTGTGAGTACCAAATGACCGCATTTCCCATGAGGGACTCAGTGGAAGAAGAGCCATTTGGTATTTTCAGTATAGAGAATAAAGGCCCTGCTCGTAGACACTTCTTAGCCCTGAAACACATGGACACTGTCCTCTTAGACACCTTTCTCCCCGTTCATCCAACAACTGGGCGTGAGGTGTTGAACACAGGTGCACAAAGGTTGCTTTTGGTTAAGTGAGAGATGCGGAAATGTCTAAGACAAACACAATCCTTGCTTCTGTCAGACCTCCCACTGAGCCAGGGGTGTGGGGTAGAAAGACCGAGAATGCCAGCACACAGAGGAACACATTCAAGAGCTGTGCCTGGTCCGGGAAGGAAGGAAGCATTTCCAGCAGGAATCTGAGAGAGGAAGACTTCACAGAGGAAGTGGCTTTTGAGCAGGCCTGTGAAAGGGGAACTAGATTGGAAAGGTGGGGACCACGTGGGGAGGCACCTTAGGCCAACAACACACCCAATATGTGTGTGAGAGGGTAGAACACAAACGTGTGGGTGTAGGGTGGGGTGGGTGGGTGGGCTGGGAAAGGCCATGAATGTCAGGCAAGGCATCTTGGGCTTTGTTGGGGGGGCGAGGGGAGCTAGTGAAGGGCTTCGAGTAGGGGAGTAAAACAATCAACAGGATGCCTTAGGGAGACGAGGCTGGTAACACACAGAGGATGGTATGGAGGCCCCAGAACCATGCAGGGAGGGAAGTTAGGAGACAAGTGCGGGTGTGGAGGCAAAAAAAAAGACCAACAGCTGGTAAGAAGGGTGCCATGGGGCACCCAATGAAGAATTTGGCCAAGAGAGAGCATCAGGGGTCAAAGCACCAGGAGCAATATACTCATATGATTGACTGAGAACAAATCAAAAGCCAAAAGAAGGTGTATCCTATGTAAAAAAAAACAGAGAGAGAGAGAGAGAGACTTGCATTGCGAAGCAGTGTCTGCCCTAGGTAACCACATACAGGATATTGGTGCCTGACTATGCTCCCCTGACCCCTGAAAGCTGCCCATATCCAAGTCATGAATTCAGGGTGTCCACTGTGCTCCCCAGCCCAGCCCAGCCCAGCCTGTCTGCACTGGCCGGTGTGGTCACTACCAGCATGTGCAGCTCTGAGCACTCGAAATATGGCTACTGTGACTGAAGAACTAGAATTTTTATTTCTATTCCATTTTGATAGTCACATGCAGCTAGTGGCTGCTACGTGTGGTTAGTGGTACAGCACCAGTCCCCACTCGACATGCTTCCTGTCGTCAGCAAACACGAGACTTGAACACAGCTGTGCTACAGACTAGGGAAAATGCTCATGATGCAAAGTCAGATGAGACCCATTTCTAGAAAACTCACTCGTGGTTTAGAAGAAGAGACACCTCTGACTCAAATGACCATAATGGAACGTGGCAGGGGTCCCACAGACCCTGTTGCAGAAAGCTGCAGAAAGAAGACATTTCAGAAAGGACACAAAGTGACATTCTGCTTAGGCTGGAAGTCCCCCAAGAACAGAACCTCAGCAAGGCCCTAGGGTTTAGCTGGAAAGTACGAAAAAGTCTAATAGGGTGCAGGGAAGGGACACAGGAAAAGGAAGATGCCAGCCCAGGGTTCATTACCAAACTGCCTTCCCCCCGGGGCCTGCATGGAGCGCAAAAGGGTGACTCACACTTCAGTTATCCACTCTAGGGGTAAGGGAGTCAGGGTATTTACTTTGCACTGTCAGCCTCGGGGGGTCTCGGGGTCAGTGATTCCCCAGCACCCAGCTGCCTGGCTGTGGCAGGGAGACTTCCGAGTTTGGGGGAAACCTGCCAGGACAGTGGGTGCTGGAAGGCAAAATTGCTGTGGGGAAAGCTGCAGCAACTTTGACCATGGCAGGTGGTCATGAACACGCCTCAGTGTGGACTGCCCCGTTCCTCCTCCTTTGTGCTGAGCATCATACTCTGCTAGTTTTTTCTTTTAAAAAAATTTATTGTATTTTTTCCATCACCATTTAGTCCCCTTATATGAGGGGACTCAATCCCAAAATCACCACACTGCTGCCTGTGTCCATGAGTCCTTTTCCTTTTTGCTCAATCCCTCCACCCTGTACCCCTCACCCCACCTCAGCTGTCAGCCTGCTCCCCATCTATGAGTCAGTCTTTATTTTGCTTGTTAGTTCAGTTTGTTCATTAGATTCCAACTATGAGTGAAATCATATGATACTTGTCTGTCTCTGACTGGCTTACTTCACTTAGCATAATATTATCCAGGTCCATCCATGCTGTTGCAAAGAGTAAAACTTTCTTTTTTTATGGCCAAGTACTATTCCATTGTGTAAATGACCCATAGTTGTTTTATCCACTCATCTACTGATGGACACTTGGGTGGTTTCCATAACTTGGGATTGTAAATAACGCTGCACTGAACAGAGAGGTACTTACGTTCTTCCAAATTAGTGTTTTGGGTTCCTTTGGGTATATTCCCAGAAGTGGGATCGCTGGGTCAAAAAAGGCAGGTTTATTTTTAATTTTTTGAGGTATCTCCATACTGCTTTCCACAGTGGCTGCACCAATCTGCTATTTAAAAAACAAAAAACAAAGTGATCCTTTTCCAGCCTGAATTTGTAGGTTTTCTTGAAATTCCAGAGCTAAAATTTTCAAGTCTTTACATCTCCTGAACAAAGCAGGTTCTGATCCTTCGTAGCCTGTGGGCTATCAATCACTTCACTGGGGTTTCCTTCCATTTCTGCCCCTGAGTAAATCCGCAGTAGAGTGAGGGTCGCCGTTCTCTCTCTCTCCCTTCACTGATCTAATCCAGGGGCTGCTGAAATGTGACCCAGGGGCCAGAGGCAGCCATCTGCTCTGTGCATCCCTGAGCGGCCTTGCTCAGTTGTTCACAAAGTGTCTGAAGTGGCTTTTGTCCCGATACAGAGTTGAGTCATTGTGACACAGACTGTGTGGCCCACAAGTTGTAAAACATTTACTTTTTGTCCTTTGTCCAGAAGAAGTTCCCTGTCCCCGATAATCTGCACCCCACAGGCCAGGACTCTGACAGTCATGCCTTGATGAGGGAGACGGGGCTGTGGGGAGAGCTCAGGATGTGAGGTCTGTGGACAAGCTGCTGAAGGCCCCTGGGGAGCTCTCCCCAGACGTGGGATGCAGGGCAAACCCAGGTAAATAGGGTCAAATCATGAAGCAGGCGGATGCTGCTCACTAATGCCAAACCCGAACAGTATGTACCAAACAGCAAGTTGGACACCCACTGATGTGGCTGGTAGGTCTTCAATATGCAGAATTTACAAAGCAGTCGGAAAAAAGGGGTATCATGACTCTTGAGACCCCTCAACCATACCGGGGACAAAGAGATTACAGTGGTGACAACTAGAGAGGGTTTTGTTTTTCTTCTTCCTTCTTCTTCTTCTTTTTTTTTTTGTTTTTGTTTTTGGTTGAAGGCTGCTGGTGCCACCCACCTTGGATGGGAAGGGAGGAAGGCAGGGCAGGTGCCTGTCTCATGTCACCAATGACAGAGTTGTCATGAAGCCCAGTGTCGGTCCCCAGGGTTAAAGAAGCACTGGGCACCGAGATCAACCTCACTGGAAGTCAGAGGGCAAGAGACCAGCCAGCCAGCTGCTTGAGGGGGGTGGGGAAGTACAGGAAAATCACCTCTACTTTGGGGTTCATCTATACTTTCAGAGCTGACTTTTGTGGGCTTCTTCTCATGGACCAGATGAGAGAGCACTGACCGGAGGATTTCTATTCTCACCCAAGGAGACCGCCTGGTGGGGGTGGTCTGTGGGACCCCCCAAGCCGGTGTGTGCACAGGGTGCTGCCGAACAGCAGAGACTAGTGGGAAGTTGTCAGCCAGGAAAAATGCGCTGTGTGTGGTCCCAGAGATTATGTTAAGTATTCCCAGGCACGTGTCTGGTGAGGATGAAAGTGGGCTGCGAGAGAAAGAATCGACTTTTAAACTCCCACCAGTCCCCAAGGGTGACACCACCCTATGACAGAGCCAGAACTCCAACTCCCTGTTTCTTCCCAGTGCCCACCCCATCAAAGGACTGGGCACCAGGCTCAGGGAGCTGGGGGAGAGAGGAAGTGCCAGGGAGGGAGAGAAGTGAGTAGGATGGCGATTACCTGCAGTGGTTCATCCCTTAGCCAAAACCTGGGGTGGCGGGGCGAGTAAGATTTAAATGTCAAATCAAGTTGAGATTTGATATTTATGTGGGGATCAACTCTTTTATCTCTGAGTTAAAACTCTGTCCTTTTGTGACCTCCAGTGGCTAAGGGGCTTTTCTGTACTTGGGTGGGATGACAAAGTCATGGGGCTGCCCAAGTTTTCACTGAGGCCTGAAGAACTTCATTCTCTCGTTCAACTTCAGGGGACAAGAGACACAACCATAAAGATTTTTTCTATTTATGCCTCACAAGCTCCATGGGTTCGACATACTGTTGGCACATTCAAAGCCCCCAGATTTCAGCCCTGCCAGGTCCGCATAGAGCTTACGTAAACTTTCAGAACAAGTTACATAAACTTTGCAGGAATTTAAAAAGATGTTAGAACAGAAAAGAATGAGGAAACAAGAATTCAGAAAAAAATAAGGAGAGGCTTAGGAACCTTCAGGATATTTTTAAACGTTCCAATATCCGGATTACAGGGGTACCAGATGGGGAAGAGGAAGAGCAACAAGTGGAAAACTTATATGAACAAATAGTAAAGAAGAACTTCCCAAAACTGGCAAAGGAAATAGACTTCCAGGAAGTCCAGGAAGCACTGAGAGTCCCAAAAGAGTTGGACCCAAAGAGGAACACACCAAGGCACATCATCATTACATTAGCCAAGATTAAAATGAAGGAGAGGATCCTAGAAGCAGCAA